TAAAATAAAACAATTAATTAATAATAATAATAAAATAATAATAATAATAATAATAATAATAATAATAATAATAATAATAATAATAATAATAATAATAATAATAATAATAATAATAATAATAATAATAATAATAATAATAATAATAACTAACGATAATTAATAGTAATTAACAATAATTAATGTAATTATTTAAAAAATTCAACAAAAGGGATGGGGAAAAAGAAAGAGACTAGAAATCACTTTTAAAAAAGTTTCTGTTAAACCATTCAACCCTTTTTTTTCATTAATTAGTGCTTGATATGTGGAAGTATGCAAAAGCAAATAGTTAAAAAAGATGGAAAGTTTTTTTTTTCTTTTTTTTTTGACAAATTAAGAAGTTATAACTAATTAGTACAAAGCTATCAAGTTATTTGTGTATGTTAAAGGGGATATACCAATTTTTCAAACAAAATTTAAGAATAACATTTGAACAATACTTGTATATGACTAATAGCTAATTAAATTTTTAATTTGCAAAATAAGTGTAGTAAAGAAATATTCATATGAAGATGAATGAAAGACAGAAAAAAAAAAAGGAAAAATTATATTCAATATACCTCAGCATGTCCATGATCAGCAGTTAAAATAATATTTAATTGTTTCGAAAGATTTGAATAATTTTCTAGTTTATCACTGATATATTTCACTAACAGATCCAATTGTCGCATCATTTCATTAATTTTACCATTTTTAAATCCATTAAAATGTAGGAAATGATCCGGTTCAGCAATATACCTTTAAATCTAACATTCAATTCCTTTATCATCTATCATAATTTTTTCAATCATTCAAACATTATCACATATCATTTCCATGATATTATCATTATATGCCAAGCATGATCAATTTACGAGGGTCTTTCTCAAAAATGATTTACAAATATTGGATAATTGTATTTGTGCTTTTGTAGAATTCATTAAATTGTTAAACTTTTTTTTCTTTTTTTTTTTTAACGATTATTTACTCTATAAACATAATCCAATTATCATCAAATTTTTTCTTTACTAATTTAGAGAGAAAAAATAAGGCCAAAAAAAAAGTTATTTATGAGAATGGAAAATAGCTATAATATTTTTAAATTAATAATATAATATGACAATCATACCAGGCGACAAAATTATAAGGATCATTTTTACGCGTGAACAATTCCACAATTTCATCAAAATCATTCATCCATTGTGATAAATTCTTATATTCCATCCATGGCCTGCATTTTTTTTGAAATATTACGAATTATGCATAAAAATAAAAATAATTAAAATTTGAATGAAACAAATGAAAATAATAAATTAAAATTTCAAAAATAATAATGGATCGGTAATAAACTAATGAATGTTCATTTGAATAGATAAAATGAATTATTAAGTAAGTGAATGAGTAGGATGGCAAGTAAATAAATGAGTAATTAAATGCGCCAATTATGTAAATAAATGGGATAAATAAGTAAACTTACTTGTGTAATGTAGGCTTATGCGGTATAGATGGCCAATGTCCACTACCTGTAGGCCAATATAAAGTAGCCGAACGTCTTCCAAAACCACCTCGCTCATTGGTAAGCCATATTGGCTCACCGTTATAAAAATGTCCCATTAAGGAGTTCTTTATCGCTCCCTTTTTTTGTGTTGAATTGAATAAATCGAACCTTTATTACCATAAATAGCATATTAAATATTTTAAAATTTAAAATTAGATTAATTTAAAATGTGAAAACCAAATAAAAATTTGAAAAAATTTTAAATTTCAAAACAAAATTAACGATGAAAGTAAATATTTCGCAAATGGATATGTCCATGCGGTATATTAATTTTGATTAAAATATGTGAATTGTTAATTTTGGTTGATCATTTTCGATAAATTAATTTTAATTCTAACAAATAATTAGCAATTTTGTCAGCATAATTTGATGAAAATTCACGATAGTAAAAGAAAAGTAACTATTATAATTTGGGTAATCCACTAAGAGAATTAATAATTTATAATTTGGATAATTCACTAAGAGAATTAATAGTAATTTTGATAAGTTTATAAAATGATGCATCAATGATGCATATATTTACTGATAGCTTTAATAATAGAATAAGTCATTTCACTAATTAAATGATAATTAAAATTAATTGAGTGATAATGATAAAAATGATAATGATGATGATAAAAAAAAACGATAATTTTAAAAACAAAACTTATAATTATTACTTATAAAAAGATTTAAAAGAAATGATACATTATATTTTTCTTTCTTTCTTTCACTGTTTTTTTGCTAAATATTTTATCAATTTTAAGGTATACGTACGTCGTACCAGTAGCCCGATCATGAAAATAATTGCCAACAATTCCATGATTTTCAATAAAAAGGCCTGTTGCTATTGTTGCATGATTTGGGGCCGTATAAGTGAGATATTGTGGACGACAACCATTTTTGAAATATACACCTCAAAAATTTCAATTTTTCTATAATACTTTTTTAAATTAAAATTAAACTTTCAATTTTTTTTTACGAAATATATTAAACTTGTTTTTTTTCTTCTAAGTAACAGTAATGATCGATAATTTCAAATTATTGATTAAAAATTTATTAAACATATAACAATTTCATTTTAGACATGATATTATTTGAAGTATTGCTGATATTTTGTCATTTTAATATTATTGAAGTTTAACTTGTAATTAAACAATAATATTAAATTTAGTTAAAATCTAATCTATTTCAATGAAAAAAATTTTCCTTTTTGTTGTCTAATTTAAGAATGCACGATTATAATATAAAATAGTATTTGTATTTGTATGAAATAAAACCTAAAAAAAATTTTTCACTGTTTTTTTTCGAAGGGTAAAAAAATTATTGTCAAAATTAAATTGAAAGATATATATATATATATATAAATATATGATGCAAAATAATTCAATAAATGAAAGCCTAATCAATGGGCTAACAGTAAAAACTAAATCATTAATTCATAATTTTCTTAAACGCTATGATTTAATTTGTGCATTTTATAATCAAATTAATAATAATAGCAATGATGATTATTAGTAATAATAATAATAATTAATAATAATAATAATAAAAATAATAATAATAAAAATAATAATAATAAAAATAATAATAATAATAACAATAATAATAATAGTAATAAAATAATAATAGATAATATACGGTATATAGACTACGATAGAAAAAAATGGCAAACAATTAACAAACCTTCGGTAGCAAATTTCCAAATATTTGGTACAATAGTAGCATTTAGTAAATCATACCGGAAACCATCCAGAGATATAAGTAAAAGTAACGGTTTGTCATTTAATGTATTAACCGTACTTACCAATGTTAGGCATAAAATAAGTATCAAATATATTCCATTCCCATTTATTTGACATTTAGTAATAATCATTCTATGTTATGAAATTTGTTTTATCATGTAATCGATCTATAATCATTGATCAGATAATACGACTATTTAATTGATCATTTCATTATTAAATTTTTATTGAGTAATTCGATTTATACAATTTATACACTGAATAAACAAAAGGAATATTAATTTTACATTGATAGAAACAAAGGATATTGTTTATTTTTACATTTTATTAACTGGTTATGTTTCATTGAGTGTGACGATAGACCTTTCCGTGAGCAGCTAAACCTTGGATGACCAATGTCATATCGATAATGGACGCCTACGAGAACTGATGCCTATTCATAAAGCCTGGTGAGTTGAGAAATGATTGACTTACATCCCAATCAAGGACATGATCCAGCAAAATGGCCCCAATAAACAAGAAAAGCGGATCCTAAACTAGAGTGAGACAAATGCTAAAGAAGAAAAAGATTAGAAAAAAACAAAAATAAAATGAGAAAGAGTATAAAGATTAAAAAGGAGAAATAAAGAAAAAAATAGTTAAATAAAAATATTTTAAAAATTTACATAAAAATGATTTGTACGAAGCACACTTTAATACAATTAGTATAATTAGTAACTTAGTATATTTTAATGCAATCAATTGGAAATATTAAAATTTCTGAAAATTAAAGAATATAAACATTTTAATTATAAAGATCGTTCAAAACACAAAAGAAAAATTTCGTTTTTTGAATTTAAAATAAAAAACATTTTTTTTTCTCTCAAATAATATATCAAATGACTATATTAAAAAATAATGAACGATAAAACAAAAGAAAAAAAAAGAACACAAATTATTAATTTGCGTTTTTTTTTTTTTTCTAGCGATATAACAAATTTTATAAATACATAATTATGTAATATAAAATATTAATTATAATTCATTGTTGAAATACCTTTTCGCGTACATATTAATAAAGTGCAAACGTAAATATGTATACGTTTACACGTATACACGTAGAAAAGACGTACAAACATAGAAAACACGTATACACGTGGAAAACACGTATAGACGTAGAAAACACGTGCACATGTAGAAAATACGTATACGCTTAAATAGCACGCATTCACTCAAATACATTTAATACCTCGTTAAACACTAATTAATTCAAATTTTGTTGTCGCTTTTCTCTCGTAATATCGAAGAAATAAATGTTTCTTTTTTTTTTTCTTTTTTTTTTTTGTTCCATTCTTTTCATTTCAATTAAAACAATAATGTATGTTTGTAAAGGAGGAAAGATGGATAAATGGAAAGAATTAATCTATTCTATTCTTTTATTTTTTATTTTTTCTCTCGCCCCTACTCTTTCTCCCTCCCTCTCTCTCATTATTTTTGTAGTTCAAAAATCATCATAGTTAGAGGGATGATTACATGAAGTACAAAGTATATGAAATGAACAAGAAGTGATATCGTAATCAATTTCAACGAAAATAATCTTGCTTATATATACCGGAAATTGTTAGACGGAATGGTTATGATTGTTAGGCGGAATAGTTATGATTGGTAGGCGGAATAGTCATGATTGGTAGGCGGAATAGTCATGATTGGTAGGCGGAATAGTTATGATTGGTAAGCGGAATAGTCATGAACATTTGCGTCATTATACTACTATTTTTTAAAACAACATTAACATCATTATTATTGCTATGATTAAAATTGAAATACTATTTGCGTCATTTTATTTCTATGGGTAAAATTAAAATAATTTATTATTTTTGTCTGCAAAA